GTGATTTACCTGACCCCTCACTCAAATTTAGTCTAAAATGAGAAGACTATTAGTCTTTAGATTAATTTAGGTTTTTTTGTAATAAAGTTTCTACTATGGCATTATATTAATAAAAAAAAAAAAAAAAAAAAAAAAAAAAATATTAAACTATAGTTAAATTTCATTAAGATTTTAAACTAAAATATACTTACTGAACTTTCGTTATTGGCTTGTTCATTATCATCATTCAACGGCGAGAATTCTTGAGGTGAAGTTAAAGCATTACTTTTATTATTAATAGATAGCTATAGAAAACAGAAAAGGTTAAAACTAGTTGCTGAATTTAGTAATGATGATTTTTAAATAAATAATTACTCTTGCATTTAACAACAAAGAGACATTGTCTACTTCTACTTCATCATCATCTGATATAAAACCCTCTTCATTAAGCATTTCATCTTCAATTTGCTAAAATTATTTAATTTTTTTTTTTGTTAGAAATCCTTTATCAGGTTCAGGATAATATATATACCTTCTTTTTACTGTTTTGTAATGGTTTGTCCTTAATTATTCAAATTTGTTTTGGTTAGTAGGTTAGTATAGTAATATACCTCAAATTCAAGAATTGAAATTTTTTACGATTTCTTCAATCCTTTCAGCCCGGGGTTCATCATCGACAATGATTCTCTCTAGAAGGGTATTCACATCATTTTTTTCGATCGACTGTCATTTTTTAATATTAAAGTAAAAATTTATCAAATTAGCGTTAGTAATTTTTTAAATAGATCGATCGATTTAGGTTTTATACCTGATTATTTTCGTTATCTTTCGGTGCTGTAAAACAGTCGATGTTTCGAAAAAAAAATTTTAAATACAATATATAAAATAAATTGAGAGAATAAAAAGATGCCTAATTTTATTGATTCATACAATGTTGTTGTTCTCCTTTATCACTATTCAATATTTCATGCTTTAATTTATAAATAAGAATAAAAATGGTTAAATGGTACATTTTGCATTCGTACAGTATATAAACCTACAGGATATATTATAACTCTTGGGTAATTATTTTGATCAGCTGGAATTGAAACATATGAAATTTCATCTTCATTAGTTGACGGCGAGGAGGCATCGAGCATTATTTCGTCTATGTCTGATAATACATCAATACGCTAGGGTTATATTATTGGTTCATAATTAATACAGGAGATTAATGAATAATAAGTGAATAAGCGGAAACAAGTTTCTACTAATTCCAGTAGTTTTGTATTAATCACAATTATACACAAATAGTATTCAAATACCTTTTTTTTACTTTTATCTCTTCTACCTTTATTCTTAGCTTTATGTTTTAAAACTCACCTCTTCAATTTGTAAGGTTAGTATAATTGATTTTGTACGGTAATAATTGAAAAATTGTCTTACTCTATATGAATTGGAATTTTGCTTGTTTTTTTTTTCATTTGACATGATCTCATCTTCTAGTTCATCAATTTGCGACGATGTTTCATTGTCACTTTCTATTTGCTGAGCATGAATTGACATTTAGTTGATGTTAGAAATTTCAGATAAAATTATCGTTAAGATTTTAGCACCTGATTATTTAAAGTTTGACTATCATTTCGCTAAAAAAGTTATAACCAACTTAATTTAGTTGATAATGCTAAAAAAAAAAATTTTATAGTTACCGTAAATTTGACAGCTTTAAATTTATTTATCTTTGTCGACGCATTTCTGAAGGGTTGACTGTCATCGATTAAGACTTTCGATGGTTTCTATGAAAATTATAAATCACATAAAAGACTAATGGATAGACTTATTATTATTTAATAATTTACTTACTAAATCGTTATCCTGAATTTCCTAAGTTTATTTCGTTAAAACAGTATTAAAAATTGCTGTAAAATTAAAATACAATATGAAGTTGATAATTACTACGATTTCTGTAACCTTGGTGGTACTTTTTTGAACTTTAGACACATGATCAATTTCTTTTTCATTATCTATATTTGATGCTTCTTCACTGTCCTCATTTACCTGGATATTTATTTTATAATTAGCTAAAAATATTTATAGCATCTTAAAATATTGAAATTACCTTTTCATTTAATTTTCTATAAGTTTCACCTTTTATAATCACTGAATCTGTTTCATCCAAATCCACAATAATTGAACGAGAACGAGCTTGACTTAAAACTGTCGCAGTTTCGCCATTAAATATTACTGAAGAAACACTTTTTTCTGTAGCATTCCATATCAATTTAACTGCAAGGTTAATAATTTCATTTTTTTCTGTCACTACATCAATTTTATTCATCATGAGAAGTTTTAAAAAATGAGAATTTAGGGCATTACGAGTGCTGAATAAATATTTATATGATTTAAACATGACGTATTTTAATTTATTTAACTATTGAGATTTATAATGATTTAGTATATACTGGTACACTGATACGAGTCATTTTAATGATAAAATGTTAATATAATATACGTAGTCTATCATATTGACACAAATTATTAAACTATGATAAATGGTTCTTTGCTTTGAAAATGATCTTACGGAACTATGTAGATTTTATGAATAAAAATTAAAATTTCTAGCCATCTATAATCCAATTCAAATAATTTTTTTTTTATATTGTTGAAATTACTAAGCTTTATAAAATAAAAAAAAGTTTATTTGAATTGGATTACTGGATAGCTAGAAATTTTAATTTTTATTCATAAAATCTACATAGTCCCGTAAGGCCATTTTCAAGGCAAAGATCCCAAATGTTATTTGATTAAAACTCGTGATCACCGACCATTTCCGACCCATTTGATAATTTGAAATAAACCTTATTATATACAGTTTGATGTTTTGTAAAATAGGTAATACGAGTGACTGTGTCGAAGATAGCATAAATTAAGTCAAATAAGAATTAATCATTTCCTTATTTAAAAAGTATATTTAAAAATAAATTCATCGAACAAGCATCATAGTATTTATATTTTTTCACATATTTGTATGCTGAAAAAATTTTAATTAAAAAATACGCGTATTAATTGCGTAACAGATCAGCACTATATACACAAAAAATATTATTTACCAAAATTATGTTTACCAGAATTATGAATAATTCTACCAATATTGTGTTTACCAGAGTTACAAATTAATTCAACCAACATTATCGTTATGAATTAATTATATCTGATATTTACCAAAATTATGTTTACCAGAATTACGAATCAATTCTACCAAAATTATATTTGTTTAACAATGGTACGATTTAATTCTACCAACATTATGTTTACCAAAGCAGCGAATTAATTCTACCAAAATTATGCTTAAGGTACCAGAGTTACGATTTAATTATCTGTTAGATTCTACCAAATTTATGTTTACCAGAGTTACGAACTAATTCTATAACATTATATTTACCAGAGTTACGAGCTAATCCTAATTCTGCCCAAAATTTATTAATTCTGCCCGAATCTATATTTGAATTCTACCCAGATTAATACTCTAATTCTGCCAAATTTATATTCTAATTCTGCCCAAATTTATATTTGAATTCTGCCCAAATTAAACTATAAATTTATATTTGAATTTCGCCTAAATTAAACCTCAATTCTGCCTCTAATTTTACATTCAAATTCTGCTCAAATTAAACTCTAATTCTGCCAAACTTTATCTCTAATTCTGTTAGAATTATAAATTTTGACTGAATTAGGGTTCAATTTGGGCAGAATTCGAATGTAAAATTAGAGGCAATATTCGGTTTAATTTAGGCGAAATTCGAATATAAATTTGGGCAAAATTATAGTTTAATTTGGGCAGAATTCAAATATAAATTTGGGCAAAATTAGAATATAAATTTGGCAAATTAGATCCAATCATTTATGTAATAATGCGCAATCACCGGTAAAGTTGAATGTACAATTGTATTTGATTGGTCAATCATTTCCTTTATCTACAATTTCTTATGAATCGCTTAACCGTTTATAAAACCGCATAACAAATATAATAATTACATGTATTTAATTGGCCAATTGCTTTCTTAACCATAAATTGCTTATGAAACCGTTTACACAAAACCCATTATGCTTATATATCATTACATATTTTTTTAATGATTTCGATATTTTGCATATTGATTTATTTATCATAATATCGAAATATTATCTATTCCGTCATATCACTTAATTTTAATAATCACAGCATTCCCATCAAAAAATTTTCGCCCATATTATTCTGGATTATTTTTTATAGGAATAATTATTTATATTTTATCAACATTTTTGAATTTGAACACTTCTTTTTGCACGTATATTATTTATGCAGAAAATGATTTTGAAACTTAGAAAAGAAAAAGAATACTGGAATTGTATTTTTTGAATTGTTGTTTTTGTCTAGAATTTCATTAATTTTGTTTTATTTTATTTACATAATACAGAAATATGTAAGAATTATATAATTCAAAAGAAATAATTCTTAGTCAATTTCAATTATCTCTATGTTTCGAATTTCGAGTATCACTCAAACAAAATAAAATTTATGCAATTCCAATCAGAAAAGATTGATGGTTAATTATTACAATCAGAATTCTGTTTACATGAATAGTCAACTACAAATACGCACGCGACAATTTTAATGCCGGTTAAAGAAGAGGCCAAATAAACTCTTGATGATTTATTATTTAATTTTCATTCACTTGCATCCCTAATAATCTGTTAAAAACCACGTGGTTTGTAAAGCTTAATTGGACCAATTAGAGCAAAGACGTTAAATCATATTATTTCGTTAGATTATAGTGCAGACCTCCAAAAATTTCTATGGGAACAAAAAATTAAAATAAGGCAAACGAATAACCACGGCGAAGATAATATAAATTTCATAATTTAGGATCTCCTTATTTGAAGCTCGTTTATGAAAAAATCAATCACGAACAAAGCTTTTGCAATAGTGTGCAAAGAATTGGAACGTTAAACTTTACATAGTATAATTGTAACAGATTAGCATTATTTACATCCACAACGCGGAGTTTCTTTTTTAAATTACTTTTTCGTATTTTTATTAAAATGCACAATTTTAATTTCGAAAAAAAAATTATTTACAAATTTTTAGAAAAAAAAATATTAAGTCACTAGACTAGATTCCTTCTTTCTTAATTAATACTGTCATTAGATATCAAAATATTTTCCCAATTTTATAATTAATACATTAAAGAGGTAAATTTATTTGTATAAGTTTAAAAACTAAAGATGAATTTTTTTTATTTCTTCTCTGATTTCATGAACGTGGGATTCAAATGTTCCTTTTTTAGCTGTTACTTTTGTTAAGTTCTTACCTAATAGTTGATTAATTATTACGATTGTGCAAGCATAGTTCATAAAAAAATATGTTCAAGGTAGACGGATTCGAATAAATTAAATTAAAATCTATAATGTTTTTGGTTTATCGAACAGTTAAGAAAGCTTTAGACTTTTTTCTATTCAGACTGAAATATAGAATCGAATAATAATAATTTTAATCTGTTTCAGCGTTAAATAAATTCTATTCTTTCTTTTGTCATAAAAAAAACTTAAATTGTTGCATGTATAAGAATCATTTATTCAATAGCAACTTTAAATCTATATACAAATATAGAAAAAATCTTTCAATTAGCACCAAACTAAACTTTGTTTAGCTAATAGGCCACCATCCAACCAGCTTGAATGGCCCATCTAAACAAAGTTTCCGGCCTAATTTGATTATCAAGAATCAAACTCCCGGTAGCATAGCTAATTTCATTATCTAATTTAAAAAAAATTAATATTATTTAGATAAAATATATACAGTTATTAGGCTATGTACAAAGGATTATCGGATAAAAATATTATTTGTAAAATGATTATCATAAAAGATTCGTTCCCATGACAAATCATTTACTAATTCTCACAGGATCTTCTACTAAAAGATTTATATTTATTAATATAAAATCTTGTAATTATATTTTGAATGATTAAATTACTTACCACGGCATTGTGATTCAAAATGTGTACCCCAGCGATTACATTTCTACAAAATTCAATTAGAGTAGCATAATGATTCCATGTTTCGAACTAAAAAACCAAAAAACTGATGTTGTGGTTGAGAAAAATCATGAGGAAAACAAACATCCCATGCATTTAATTCGGTGGTAGTAGTGATGGTCTCTTTAGGATTGAATTTATTATTCGGTGCGAGCTGAATAGTTACTTTGTATAGTAAGAGATATAGGCGGTCCATTTTTCTTAAAATATCGTAAATAAGATCATCTTCCGTTATTTCAACCTCTTGGTATCGTGCTTCCGAACTAGGAAGATTTTTATTCGTACCAACGACATAAGTATAGACTAAACAACATTGCAAGTTTCGATGCTAAAAATTTGAAATAAATAAATTTCATAGAATAAAAAAACCAGATAAAATATATAATTAAAATATATACACTTTTCCGCGGAGTTATCTCACTTTCATTTTGATTATTTAGAATAACATTAAACTGTTGCTGTATTTTTGCCAATTGCTATTGATTATTTTGTATGACTCTAAAAAATTTTTTTATAAAATCATTCTGATCCGTTTGTTCAGAAGGAGACTCACTGCTTTTAGCCTATTTTTATATTTCAAATAAATATTTAATAGAAAAAAAAAAACAAGATTAAGCATTAATTTGATTAACTATAATTTGATAATAACGGCTACTGCTTGAATTAAGATATAAAATTGTCTACTTCGTTGCATATTTCAACTAAGACTGATGTTGTTGATATTTTTAAATAGTGTCATCAATTTATGCAGCTAAGAGGTCACCAGGAAGATAATCATTCTATCAAGAGGTTTTTATTCAAAAAACGAAATAAACAATGTATTCATGTCCTAAAATAGAATCTTTATAACGTTAACAATTACGATTAGGGCAATTTTTTTTATATGATTGTGCCATTACACAAACAAAAATCTTTTCAAAATTTTGCGTGATCTACACGTGATTAACCGTGATAACATAATTTTTAAAAAATTCATCGCTCTTATCATAATACTATAAGAAAAATGAAAGAAAACTTCATATAAAAAACCTTACGAATTACAAATATATATAAAATATTTATCACATATATTTAGAGTATAGATAGATGTGTGTAAAATATGTAAATATGATATTTATTACGAACTTATCAAAAATTTATACACACAGTAATATATAAACCATAACTTTAAATTTACGGCCAACAAAATATAACACACAACAAAAAACAGACTAATATAAATATTAAATTCCTTAATTCAAATCTCTCGCCTGACGAGCTTGAATTTATTCAAACTATACTGTTAGTAATAAAGTTTAATCATGTAACAAAATAGTTTAAGCAAAAAACATCTCGCTCTATAATATAGCTTACATGGTTCATATATTTTGTTTTCTAAACAAAGTCCCTTAGTTTTGTGAATATTTTTGCATAGTAATGTTGAATAAAATTCTAGTAAAAAAAAAAAAATTTATGATTATTTGAATAACTGTGAGAGTTATTGAAGTTTTCAGTTTAAATTAACTAAAATAACTAATAAAAAATTCATGTTTTTCTCTGTTTTTACGTATAAGTAAACTGCTTTTCCTATTTGATCTATACTGATCTAAAAGTCTTAAAGGACACTTTAGAACATGAAGAATATACTTGTAAAAAAATATCCCCTGGTCATACGAACAACTAGGGGTTGCTATATTACTCTAAAAAAGAATTTTTGTATGATTTTCCATATGACAAATATTATAAGGTATGATCTGCTAACCAATCATTTTATATTTTAGCTTTCCCTGGAATTTTACTTAATTTGCTTAAAATTTGATTTACTATCATTATAAACTTGTGAATAGTATTCGAAGGCTTTCTTTTTATTTTTCTCAGCATCAAAACCATATTCGAGATGCTTTGCTAACCAAAATTTTGCATCATTTGATAAATTTGAGTTAGGATATCAGTAATACAGGAAAAAGAACAATATGAAGCTTCAATATTGTACGGACATGGTTTAACTTTAAATTTAAATAAACTTGACTTATAAGTATTTGCTTGAATCTTAAAGAAAGCTTTATTTATAATATATAAATTAATGATATCGTCGAAACTTTATTGGACTAAAAAAAATTTTTATGACACGAAGTTTAGAAGTATCACTAATATTTTTAATGACTAAATCTATGAAAGCTTTAGTATCAAAGTCATCCTTTGAATAGATTCTTGTTACAATATATTTGAATAGATTAAGTTTTTCTGTAATTTCTTTATATAAATATTGTGAATGGAATTTAAAATTCTTAATTATTGCTTCTTGAACTTCCTTATATTTTTCAAAATTAAGATTAACTTTGTCTGTCTCTAATCGATTTAGATTATTTTCTTTTTTATATTTACAATAAATTTCAGAATTTTAGATTTTTTCTTTTGAAATTGCAAATTCTAGATCTCTGGGATATAAGTATTCATGTGTAGAGCGAATCTCATCATAAATCTCGTCAAAAATTTTTATTTCTAGATGGTTAAGGCAACAGATAATAGAGGATTTTTCATAAATATATCGATTGATTATATATCTTCTGAAGCAATTGAAATGGAATGTGTCTCCACAAATAATTTGAATAGAGCTTTTTTTGAACAGCTTTTGACCACATAAATCATATTTTTTATTATTTAAGCTTCTATTTTTATGTTCTTTGTACGGATCAACGTAAATGTTTATATCTTTTTTTCCTTTTTTATCTGTAAAAGGTATCTCGTATTTTTTGTCGCTCAACTTGTAGTTAATAATATTAACTCTATTCTTTTTAAGTTGTGTATTATAAGAAGAACGAGTACGTGGCATTTTTTTAATAGTGTAAAATTTTTAGCTATTGTTATATATAGCGTAAAAGGTGCGGAAGAAGGTGTTTAAATAATATTTGATGAAACAGATCTCTCTATTTTGATCAATTGATTACAATTTAAGTCTCATGGTCAGACATTCGCTTCATTGGCTAATGTAAATCAATTGCCCGGGTAACTAGTTAAGTTATCCAAAAACTAATAGTCAATATAAATTGTACTCTAAAACTATAGTTTTAGAGTACAAGTTATATTAACTATTAGTTTTGGATAACTTAACTACGGGTAGTTAAGTTATCCAAAACTTATAGTCAATATAAATTGTACTCTAAAACTATAGTTTTAGAGTACAATTTATATTGACTATTAGTTTTTGAATAACTTAACTAACTACGGGTAACTTATTTATACACTTTAAAGTACTTTTTGATAATGTAACATTTCACTAATAAAAAATCATCACAAAAGCCATTCCTAGCTTTAAACGAACGTTAATATTCACCGTGCAAAAGAATCTCAAAAAGATCTCACTTTTCGTGGACTTTGCTCAGAAGACAAAATATATCACCGTCTATTGGGCATGTGAAATTATACAGTAGAGTGAAGGTAACGGAGACGTTTTTCGTCTAAACTATTTTTATTACGTTAGATTTAAATAAACTTTTATTTCTAACTGTTTAATTTTAATAGGTACAAACTCTTAGCAGTAGAAACTCTGGGCTTAATATTTAAATTTTGTTGGTTATTATAGTGTTTTTTAGCCGTAAATTAATAGTTAAATTTTGGTTTATATTCTTGTATAGATTCTTTAATGAGTTTGGGTTTATTAGTTATTTATCCACTTTACGCGTATATATCTATTCTCTACATATTAATAATAAATTCTTTCGCGTGTATTTATTAGTTTGTAAGCTTCAGACTAAGTTTCTTAAAAATTATGTATTTTGATTGGTTGATGACACGGGTAGATCTACAAAAATTAACCAATCATGCGAATGTCTGCCCATGAGGTGTGACCCCTGCAGATCATGATGTCATGTAAAATCATGTGAAATCGGCCGATTCTGATCAATTTTTTGATTCTTGAAGAATTTTAAAGATTTTTATATACAGGCATTAATGATCAGTATTTTAATTTATCAAAACAAAACAAATTACATAATGTACAGTGAAAATTGAATTGAAATATAATAAATTACATGATATATAGTAAAAATTTAATATTCGCTTTATGTTTTCTTTTATTATCATATATGTATAATTGTTATATTTCTGTATTTATATTTTAATTCAATAAAATATCATAATGCCTCCTGCGTATAGTGATGACTTGAAATGGCGTATAGTTTTTTTATATTATGATAATTATTCAATATTGCAAATTACAAATCTTCTTTATATTAGTAAAGGTTTGGTAAAGAAAGTGTTACGATTATATAAAAAATGGGGAACTGTAACAAATCCATGGAAACAAATACCTGGACAACATAAAATTTTTAATCGAAGTGACATGAATGTGGGTTATTTAATATATGTATATTACTGTATTATTTAATTTATACTATACATTATATTATATAATAGATTTTACGAACCATTATTCAAGAAAATCCGGACATGTATCTTGATGAAATTGTTGAACAAATGGAAATCCGATGTGGCAAAAATGTCTCAATTTCTACTATGTGGCGTTCATTAACTTATTGTGGAATAACAACAAAAAAAGTATTTATTATATGTATAAATTAATTTATAAATAAAATAGAATTTTTATTTAATTTTTATTTTAGTTGCATAAAGCGGAAAAAGAGCGTAATGAATTGCTTCGCAGTGCTTTTATGGCCCGAATTGGTTCTCAATATAAAAGTGACCAATTAATTTTTTTGGATGAATCATCTAAAGATGAACGAACCATTTCTAGAGGATATGGTTATTCTGAAATCAATACAAGGGCAGTCAAAAAAGTAGTGTTTCTTCGCGATAAGCGTTACACACTTTTGCCTGCATTAACCTTAGATGGTATAATTGCTATTGATATTATGGAGGGTAGTTGTACAAAAGAGCGATTTAAAGAGTTTGTAATTTCTCAAGTGGTATGAAATATAATTATATATTTTTATATTTGTTTGCAATACATATATATATTTTAAATTATTTTTTTTATTATTTTAGCTTCCTTAAATGAATCCATTTCCACATAAACGAAGTGTTTTAATACTTGATAATGCAAGAATTCATCATAATGATGGATTGCTTGAATATTTAAATGCATTTGGAGTACATATAGAATTTCTTCCTCCTTATTCACCTGATTTAAACCCAATCGAATTAGCTTTTTCATGCATAAAAAATTATTTAAAAAGATATCAGTACTTTGTAGAAAGTTGTTTAGATCCTAAATATCCATTATTAGTTGCATGTTCTCAAATTACTCCTTTGTATTCTAATAATTTTTTTAATGCAGCAGGCTATAAATAATATATATTTACTTACAATTTATTGCATGATAAGATAGGAATTATATTATATTTTGCAGCATATTTTCTAAGTGTTTGGCATGCACCAATAGTATCTACATCGCATTTCATGAAATCTTCATTTGATAATTCAGCAAGTAGTTGTACAGAAATTTTTTGTTGCTCAAATTTTGATAAAAATTTCTGATAATAATCTTTAGTATTTTCGCTTTCATCTACAAATTTTAAAAAATTTTTAATTGTAGGTAATGTTTGTTGTAAAGATAATTGAATTGGTGTTGAAAAAGGTATTCCAAAGGAATTATATGTTGAAAATGGATTATAGAATAAATTTGGTATATAATGTTGACCCGGAAAAAGTGATTGTTGAGTAAAATTAGATTGTTGCATTAAGCTAGCTTGTTGCATTAAATTAGCTTGTTGTATTAAATTAGCTTGTTATATTAAATTAGGTAATTGTATTGAATTAGGTTGTTGTATTAAATTAGGTTGTTGCATCAAATTGAATTGTTGCATTGGATTAGGTTGTTGTATCAAATCAGATTGCTGTATTAAATTAGGTTGTTGCATTGAATTAGGTTGTTGCATTGAATTAAATTGTTGCATCAAATCAGATTGTTGTATTGAATTGGAATTGGATTGTTGCATTAAGATTAAGTTAGATTGTTGAATTTGTGTAGAACTAGATTGCAGTTATGAAGATGTTTTTGTTTTTGTTAAATGTTTATATGTGAATAAAGGATGTGTAGGTGGTTCTGTCGGTGATGCCATTGCTTTATTCTAAATAGTATAATTAAAGTTAATTATAATATACATAAGCTATATATAAATTATAAAATTTGTATATAATTTATACTTACAATTTCAGATGCCCAAATCGAAAGCATCATGAAAGTAATTTCAATATGATTTTCTTTAGCTCCATTTTTATTTAAGCATGGTCGATTATGAATTGTACAATAGTTTTCTTTGCGAATTTCTAAAATATTTTTTGCAATTGATAATTCAAGCGATGATAGATTTGAAGTTTTAGGAATAGAATTTTTGTTTCTTGAATCTGAAACAATATCATTATCTGAATTATTATCAGGCTCAAGTTCCTAAATAAATATTTAAAGTTGTTTTATATTATTATATTATAAAGATAATATAAAAAATTCTTAATATACTATACTTACATCTATTTTTCGCTTTAGATTTGATTTAATAAATGTTATAAAAAAAGCCATATTGATGTTTTTAGATTTGTATTTTTGATAATCGACTTGAAATTTTTTAAAGTCTTGAATATCAACTAGTTGGGTACCCGCTCCAGCTACTTTTTCAGATTTGAATGCAATACGGTAGTCATTTGGATCAACTAGTTTATTCCCCATTAAAGTTTCAATATTTATATGAATTTCAGAAAGTAGCTCATCAACCGTAGATACTTTGGCAATATACCATTTTGCTGGAAGAGATGTTCCATTTTCAGATTTAATAAAAACACCATAATTATATTTGTATTCAACTTCTTCACTAGATAAAGACTCATCATCATTAAAATTATATTCTCTTTCATGATATCCTTTTTCATTAAAATTCAAATCAAGTTTTTCTTCAGATTCGGAAGCATCACTTGTTAGAGTAGTAAGATCACATGTTTCTATTTCATAGTTATCATCATTTACAAGGGTTAAACTTGTTGTATTAAGCTTTTTTGCTTTCGTAGATAATCTTAATAAAACACTATTGCATCAAGAGCATAAAGTAAAATTAAAAGCCTCTTTAATACTTAATAAATAATTATAGTGTTCTATTTTTTGATGAATAAATTCTACTTTTTCTTTACTCCAATTTGGATCAAATACTCGTGTAAACGCATATTTGACAGCACCTGTCCGATTATTTTTATGTGGCACTTCAGATAAGTTGCAATCACATTTTTCTTGTTGCAAATCAATTCCACAATACATGCATTTTCGGCAACTTAAACAAGTTCCTCGACGATATTTTAATTTTGTTTCTTGAAAATCGGCCATTTTTCAAGAGAAATACGATAAAGAATTATGAAAAGGAAAACAATATAATAATATTTACGTAATACATAAATAGCTTTTTATATTGATCACTATTAATCACTGATCAAATAATTATATAATTATTACAGATTTTTAATGATTCTTAAATTTAGATTCCCTATTTAGAATCTCAAAGATTCTTCGCATCATCATCATGAAAATCATGGGGTCACACCTTTTTGCAAACCGCCATAATTAGAGATGCATAATAAATTTTATCCGGCAAACTCATATGATCATGGCGCAGCATTGTACTGTTATTTTTTTGCATATTTTGATTTAATGCCGAATAACAATATAAATTCGGGCATAAATTTATTTAAAATTTTAAATATTGAGCCGGGAAACAAATTTTTTTTTAAGTTTCCAAATATTGGGCCGGGAAACATAAATTCTAGTCAGAATTTATCTAAAATTCCAAATATTGGGTCAAGAAGCTTAAATTCAGACTAGAATTATTTAAAATTCTAAAATTTTTGGCCGGGAAGCTCATATTAGCGCCAGAATTACTTTAAATTGGGACTAAATAAAGCTCTTTAATGAATCAATTAAAATTTTACATTTTACATTTTATACACATAATATCACGTATGCTTTTCAAATCTCATAATTAAAAGTTAAAGGTGCAATTATGAAAAGTATTACCGGTAAGGAGTTTTTCAATAAATTCTTTATTTTGTGCTTCTTTATGGTCCTTTTTAACACGATTTTTTTTTTGCTTTCTTTTCAGGAATGTTTTGATTGAGCTCATTCAACACATTAGGCGGAGATACTTCAAGATCACCAAGGAAATTTATTAGCGACATTTGCAAATCAGATCGCTGAATGTAGGAACTTGCACGGGAAAAATCACCAAAAATTGGTGCAACTTTTCAACAGTCCACAGCTCCATTGTTACTTGGGGCTTCACTGTTATTTGGTGCTTCATTGTCATTTGGGGTTTCATAATTATGGTGGCATCATTGTCATCAAAGTCATTGGTGGCATCATTGTTATTGGTGGCATCATCATCATTGGTGGCATCATCATTGGTGGCATCATCGTCGTTGGTGGCATCATCATCGTTAGCAGCATCATTGTCATCAGCAGCTTCAAAAAAATGTATTAGTTAATATCCAAAATTAAATAAACAAGCTATAATATATGAATTTTATCTTTTGTTGTATTTTTTGAGATTTGTGCCAAGACACTAAAAAATCCTCCAAGACCTTCTTGTTGCATGACAGATCTTGGTCTTTCATACATGGCAAGACCCTTCTGTGACTTGTGTCTTGTGATTGACATAACCACAGCATCCGAATATCCAAGTTTTTTCAACAACTGTACTGCAATTTTTCGCCCAGAGTGATTTGATATATTATGGGTTCTAATCTGGATATTTGTTGCTTTACAAATGACCTGAAAATATCCACTTAATGTTTACTTGCCCATTGCACATTTGTAAAACCAATGTCCACTAAACTCAGCTTAGATTAAAAAAATATATTTCATAAATATTTATATCCATAAAATCACATGCTAAAAAAAATAAAATAACTTACTAGAATCTATTGATATAGGTTTCAAGTAAAAATTCGTCACAGCTATTACTGGGCACTTCATAAAATACAATTCGTAATCATCAGTTATACTTTTAATTTTGGGCAAGCTGATTACTTCTGCTTGTGCATCATAGTTATCAAGCCCTCGCTGGTTAGTTTTTGATCTAAATAATTTGACATCAATACCACTATCAAACCTTTTAATAAAATTGTTGATTTGGAGGCCATAATGCTCACCCCCCACAATGCTAACAAGGTTGAATTATAAAAAAAAAAATATATTATAACAGTCCTTCTGGACTATTACATTGCATCATAATGTGGTTGAGAATATGTTCAACCCCATTCATCATTAAGGTATCTGCCCCAGTACATTCACCCAATCCAATAGCTGAAAGACTCTTCAACTTTCCATTAATCGCTTGGTTCAAATCAAAGTAAAACTTTAGATTTAATATTTCAACAGGTTTTTCCATTATGGAATACTGATTAAGATGTCACCATATGGCTGCCAAACAACACCTTATTGAAGATGTGTGATATTCTTGACCATCCCATCATTTAATTGCACACACAAATTTTGATAATTGGTCTTCCAAGGTCATTTTTGAATCCACTTCCTTGATTTTGCCTTCATAACTGACATCAGCATGAAATTCTTCTAATGCCTTAATCCACTGTCCATTGCTTTGTGAGTGGCTTTGACCTTCGAGTTTTCACGGAGTGTCTTTAATTCATCCACAGAGGGTTCTGTGTATTTAACCCGCTTTGCTTTATTAGACTTTGTTGGTGCTGGCACAGACTTTGTTTTTGGCATTATAAGATGATGACCGTGATGACAGAAAAGTTTTTTTTTTTTGTTTTTTTTTTTTATTATTTTATTTTATTTTTTTTATTTGACAGTTCAAGTGTGAACAGGTAAGAATTATAGCCTTAAGGCCTTGGACAATTAGCACCAGCAATGTAACCGGCACCTCAAATTCTCATTCCAACAACCTAGACCTTAGTAATGGCGGCCACAAGCTTTAGTAAGAGCGACCTTAAACTTTTAGTAACTAGCACCTTGAATTTCGACAACAATAAAAGGTACTTAAAAAATATAACGCGTTTAAAAAAAAATTTTTTTTCGCTTTTAAAAAAGAGATTTGATTTTACATCTTTTTTGTTAGATCTAAATTTGTATTTATAGGGGAGGATCGGGACCATGTTCATAAATTGCCGGATAACACCATTATTGGGCAAATTGTTGAATACAGCAATTTGGCTCAACCGGACAAATGATTGTCTAACACGTGCCACTTCGCGGCACATGTCAGCCAATCATTTGCCCGGTTGAGCCAAATTGCCGTTATTCAACAATTTTTGCCCAATAATGTATACTTACACGAAAATATTTCCTTATCCCTAATCAAATAATGATTACCACGCGTTTCCAAATTTGGGATCGTAGCGTTTTATTCGTATCACATGATTTTTAACTAATAATTATCCAATAAATTATAACCATTCATTTAGTATCGTGATGAAATTTGAGAGATAATTGGTCGAATTAAATATGCAAACTTATAAACTTAATGCAAGTTCATTAACTCCGTTTTACTACGCTTTTACGTATTCTATTTATTACTTGGAAAATTTATATAAGGTTGCACTAGGCTGATTTAATGAACATAATTGAACGACACAACTGAACACGACGGAACTTGTCACCAAATAATCCATATATTAAATATTATAATTTTGTTTCTCTTCCTTGCATTCCCCTCGATATTAATTTAAACAATTTAAATTGATAAAAACGTAAAATATATGAATGAAATAAGCGAAATAGTTATATTGTTAAATTCAAATCTTCTCTGTGTAGATGATAAGGACAACGGTGAACATAACATTGACTCGCATGCACAAAGCTTAAGAAATTTAGAATGGTATTATAAAGCTATAGACGAAGGTCGGATTGTTAAATTTAGATATTCGGAATTTTATAATCTTAGAGAAATAGGACAAGGTAAAAAAACTTTATTATTTAATGTATAATAAGCTTTATGTAATATTATTAGCAATATAAGCTTTATATATATATATATATATATATATATAGGTGGCTATGGAATTGTTTATTCTGCAGATTATGGCGATCAAAAAGTCGCGTTGAAGCGATTTAGTCAGAATAATTCAATTATAAACTTTGCTAATGAAGTAAGAAAATTTATTTATTACGTATCTACAGTATTTCAAACAAAAAACGATCAATAATTATGATAATTGCCCTTAGATTAAACAAATTTATACTGTCAATAATCACGAAAATATTAACAGATTTCATGGAATCACTAAAGGTATAAGGATTTGTTATGAAAAAACGTTCCTTAAATTAAAATTTATTCACATATATATATATATTAGATCCATATTCGGGTGATTTCATAATGGTGTTGCAATGTGCCAAAGATGGAAATCTGAGAAATTACTTAGAGCTTCAATGGAATAATAATGTTTTTACAATAGCTTTGACCAAGGTTATTAATATTTTGGAGCAAATTGTGCAAGGATTAAAACACTTGCATTCAAATAATATCATTCATCGAGATTTAGTAAGTGATTGTCTCATGTCTCAATATCCTTTGCATGGAATGAAAGTTAATGTATTTCTTCATGCCCATATGTGACGTAGATAACGTATTTATTCTTAGTCATCATCTATTCCAATATCATGATTAGAGATGAATAATGCTTAACTTTAAAATTTCTTATAACAAGTTACTAGTCTAAAATATGTTATTCATCTCTAATCACTGATATCACTATTTTTTTCGAATACTGTAGTTTGTTTTGGTAAATAATTTTGCAGATTAGCCTTAATTAATATTTTACTATGATTTCGATGGTGGCTAATGAAATCTATGTCTTTAAATTAAAGAGTCAAAAAGAGTTAATCTTTTAACATTTAATAAAGGTAATTCTAACAACTTGTAGAGAATTTTATAGTAGTAATGAAATATCTTTATTTAAAAATACTGTAAAAGTTATTTGATTGATTTCTATTGACTCACATCATTTATAAATAAATGGGCTGAATCTGAAATACATATCATATCTATGTAAACTATGATTCGTTTTTGGAACTCAAATGTAATTTTTCAACTTTTATAGCATTCAAGAAATATTCTAATAAATGGTGAACGTATCTTAATTGCTGACTTTGGATTAGCAAGAGAATCAAATTGCATCTCAACCTCTTCAACCTTTTCAAATATAGTAGGGGTACCAGCATATTTTGATCCCAAGTGTTTAATACAAAAAGATAAACTTGATAAAAAATCCGATATTTATAGCCTAGGAGTAATAATGTGGGAAATTACAAGTGGAAAACCACCGTTTGAAAATATCAGTGTTTCTAAAATATTCGCCAAAATTATTATAGGCGGTCGAGAAACCCCTATTCATGGTACACCTAAAGACTATGTCGCTCTATATCAAAAATGTTGGTCACCTGAACCGGAACAACGACCAAATTTAAACGAAATCTTAAGATGCCTTGAAGAAATTTCGAAAAAAGCGGATAATAAGTTTATAACATATAGTGATCGCCAACGACGAGCTTCGACACCATCACTAACGACTGATAATTCGTCAAGTTTAAATTCATCATCTGACCACTCAGAATATTTCAGTATTCAATCAACAATTTCGAGACAAATTTTTATAAATACAACAAATATTATCACAAGAAGTCAGGCCGAAAAGATCTCTGATTGGATTTATGGAAATAATATTATTCGATGTGAATTTAGATTACGATATGTAGGTAGTCGAGATAGAGATGGAACCGAATTTAAAAATTTTCATAAGCACTGTGATAATTTATCAGGAACTGTTGTGGTATTAAAAGTTCGTGCGACGGGAGAAATTCTTGGTGGATACAACCCAATTATGTGGAAAATGGCACCTCGTAAATTTGGAGTGATGCCTACTAGTAAGTATGGAGTAACTGACAAAGCGTTTATTTTTTCTTTTAAAGATGAAAAAACAATTTTTAGTAAAGTAAAAAATCCCGATAAAGCGATTTATTATAAGGATGAATTCGCAACTTCTTTCGGGAAGAGCGATTTATCCTTGATAAATGACATGACATTAAATTATAAGTGGTATTGTAAACAAAAAAATTATAATAAGCCGATTAGATCTTCGGCGGGTTCCTTTGAAGCAGATGATTATCAAATATTCGAAGTAATCGAAATATAAAATAAAATAAGTTTGTCGTAAATATTATAAAATTTTGTTGCAATTTATTGTAATTTTGTTTTAATAATGTACTTTTTAGTGTAATCTAAATAAGATATACTGTAATTTAAATAAGAAAATTGTCAAATCTGATTTTAATAAAATTAACTTATAATTAATATGAAATTTCAAACTAATTAGGTCTAAGCAAAACGTATGATAGGCACATCATATTAAAGATTTTATTGATTTATTATCTCTCATTCGAGAAGGTAAGAGTGTTTTACGCACTATACCTGAACGTTAAGTGTGTATATATTATTGTCCACTTAGCAGATAATTAGTAGATTCTTAGGTTCTTATTACATTTCAACACTATTTCTTCAAATTAAAGTTCGTATTTTATGAAGTATAGCTTTGCTACAGTCGCAAGACTTCTTTCATTTCTTCCAATTCTTCCTTTTTTTTTCAACCGGCAATTTTTCTCTTCGTCATCATACATAGTAACTTAAATAACTTAAAAAAATTTGGTAATATCATTATAAAAAAAGTAAAAAAAATGATATATATAGTGATTAAAATAAATATAAAGTTTCTGTATCAACCCGAATTTGAGATCCGAGTTTTTGACTCTTATCGAAGGGTGTTACAATTGAGAAGCAGCTATGCTTATTCTGTCCCTTTCGCTTTCATACTATTGTGAGGACGGAAAAACGTGACCTAATAATCGCTGCGCCAACACAAGTTACCCCGGTTTTGACGATCGCTAACCGAA